ATTAATTGCGATTAATCACTCCCAAAATAAAAGTTTTTGTTTACATAATATATGTGTGTATACTGTGTATATTTATTATGTACATATAAATACACACACATGCATGTATATATTTAAGAAAATATGTTACATTTATATTTTAAATATATTTATATATGATATAAATTATATGAATATAAATATATACATGTAAATACAGGTAAATATTTTCAAAATATATGCTGTATGTGTGTGTATTTATATATATATATACACAATACACACACATATATTATGTAAAACTTTTATTTTGGATGTGATTAATCGTGATTAATCGTTTGACAGCACTACTTTTTAGCAGATATTTGTTAATATATATATACAATCAATTAAAAAATAACTAATTAATCACACATTATTTTCTGAAATTAATCACGATTAATCCCACCTAACATTAAAAATACTTTTACATTGCAATAATTTCTCATTCAATCTTCAAATTAATGTAGAAACAACATAAAGACAGTATACTTTTAATATTCATATAATGGCATATTTTTTATGACTGAAGGACAGTATCACTGATACCAATACTACTGATGTCTCTAGGAAATTGTTTTTTCCCCTAATATTTAACCATTGACTAGCCATTCAACATTACAAGAGCTATCAATTTTAACATTTATTAGACTACTTGAAATAACTTCTAATTTAAGTGAACTTAAAACAATCTTCACATAAACCAATTATAATAAATATTAATTTTTATTTACCTGTACCGTTCAGCAAGTAGGAAATATACAGAAATTGAATAAAGTTATCAAACACTAAATTTTTAATTAAATATAGATGAATCCTTAAAGCTACAAGAGTTTTTGATTTCCTCTTTTTGTCTGTTGATCTTTGATAAACAGATATCACTGCAGCTGGTTATTAGGTTATTTTGGCTGCTATTTCTTTAAAGGGGTCCTATTATGCTTTTTCACTTTTTTAATTTCAGTTAGTGTGTAGTGTGTATGTTTGGGCATAAAAAAGATCTAGAAAGTTACAAATCTCAAAGTCCACTCCAAAGGGAGATATTTCGTTTTTAAAAAATCCCTTTTCAAGAACTACAACGAGCGGCTCGTTTGGACTACAGCGTTTGGTTTCCAGGCTTTGTGATATCACAAAGCGGCTCATCCCGCCTACAGAAATTCGAATGGTTGGGGGGTGGGGAGGGGCGAGGTTGTGGTTAGAACGCTTGGTTGAGTGAGTGCATCAGACGAGACGACGAAGAAGAAGTGCTGCTGCAGAGTTAGTGCATCAGAGAATCCCAAGAAGAAGAGCTGCTGTGCTGTAGCGTCAAATTTTTGGCATGTCTAGAACAATTCTTACAAGTATAACACGACGTAGCTGGGCGCCGCGGACAGATGCCGAACGGTGCCGCCAGTGTGCCTACACTCATAGAAAATAAAGTATTCAAATCAAGACTTTGTAAAAGAGCATAATAGGACCCCTTTAAGAGCTGCAGCTGCTGAATGTGACGCGGATCTGACACGCATTTCTTTACCTATTCTGACCCACTTCAGGTCTTAAAGTCTCTACTAAATGAACTGATTTGAATGGGTGTGTTAGATGAGGGAGACAGTGCTGGGATGCTCCAGGACAGTTTGGAAAACCACTGCATTTCAGAGACATGTTCTTAAATGTGACTCATATAACAAATACATACACACACAGTTTTAAGGCAGCTTTAATTGCCTTTTTGGTGACTAAATACAGCCTTAAAGTGCGATTTCATACACACACACACACACACACACACACACACGCACGCACATTAAGCATAATGGATATATAATATATGCTATATAGTTTATATTATTATTAAAAATGATAAATTATCAAAAAATTATTACATTAATAAATGTAATATATATTATTATATCATTAAAAGTCTAATGCCTTAAAGCATGATATATGCTTTAGCCCCTAGCTCTGCCCCTGCGTTAATTGTGTTAAATATTTTTAATACGTTAAACTGAAATTCTGGATTTTTTTTCTCATTTTGTCTCTCATAGTTGAGGTATACCTATGATGAAAATTACAGGCCTCTCTCATCTTTTTAAGTGGGAGAACTTGCACAATTGGTGGCTGACTAAATACTTTTTTGCCCCACTGTATAGTGTAATTATCATTCATAAATAATAAATAAATAATATAATATCTAATATATTATACAATATTAATATAGCCTTTTTGCAAATCATGCTTACTTTAACGTACTGTTTCAATAGGAAATATATCAATGCAAAAAAAATGAAAACTATGTCAAGGGATGTACAGTATGATACTATGAGCATGCCTGGATTTTTATGTATTTATTTTTTAATGGAAATTTGCAGAAGACTTAAAATATTTTAATACAAATTAAAATCATTGAGGAGGCTGTGAGGTGTGCACTGTTAATGTGAAGGACGGGTGAAAATCTGCAGAGCTTTTTGCAAAGTTGTGGGCATGAGACAGATTATGAGTCACCGCTAAAACACATCTGAACAGACCATACTGCAATTTATCACAGCTGGACCTGGTATTATGAGGGATATTAAGTTCAATGGAGAGGACTGAGGCAAATGCTTCCAAAGAAAAGCGGTGAAAGCACTTTCCACAAATTGGGTACAAATTACGGCTCAACTCTTTGAAAAAGTCAGCTTTGGTTCTTTTCTAAACTAAGGGTTCGTGAAAGGAGGTGCTTTACCTTCAGAAAATGGTATTGGTCCGCCTCAGGAGGTCAAGCTATAATTTTACATGTGCTATAATAATATACTCCACAGTAAAGATCATGCAAAGTCTGTGAAAATTGAAAGAGATTATTCACTTCCTGACAAGCTGTAGAAAGTGTCAGGATTGTGTTGATTGCTGTGTGTCACAGTTTTACGGAATAAAAGCAGCATTTTATGATGTTCATTTTATGTTTGACAAAGCATTATTTTAGTACATGCTATCATTATTATTATTAATATTCAGAATTTTTTATTTAATTATTTAGTTTTTTTAAACAGGTCTATACAGTTGGTTTAACCAGTTTGCCTAACATATGTAATCACCCTCTCCCCAAAGAAAAAGAGATTTGTTGTGATTACCAATTTGTACCCTATTTTTATGTAAAATGATAGTTAGTGAAAGAAACTGAGAGAAAAATATGTATATATCCAATATACAATATAGATAACGTAAAACAGATATAAACAACAATCAATCAAATTAATAAACAATCATATTTCAGTATGCAAATAAGGCAAGCACCGTCACAAAATAAGTCAAATGAAAATTTTCTAAATTCTATTTAAAGTTCCAGTATAGCTTAAAAAAATTAAAAACAAAGCACACCTAAGACTAAAATGATCTACAAAACAACTTTTGAATGGAGATTGTACAAGTTGTTTTTGTTAAATTAATTGCTTAAAGGTGTTGAAAAGAAGAAGAAAAAGAAGTTGCAAGTGCTGTAATGAGGCATTCACACCCTGTCGAAATTACAGTAATTATGAGTTTCCAGCTAGTAAAAAAAGGTTCATTCATGTCTCCGTCAAACTTATAATTACAAGCTGGAAACTTTTTAATGAATTTTATGAAAGCTCTTCTCCCACTTGACCGTGGTCAAGCCTGCCAAAAAAAAAAAACCTTCCCAGAAACTGCAGCGTACAAGCTGCTAGTTACACAAGTGTTTATTGTTTCTTTTTAAATGGGCATGAAAAGAAATCTCACTGTATCTACTTTCTAAATGCATATTATAGATCTTATTGTGAACAATTCGTATGTGCATGTGTTTCATTTTTTATTTTAATGGTTAATAAAAATGTAATAACTACTCTCTAAAAAATGCTGGGTTAAAAAGAGACAAACCCAGCTATTGGGTTGTTTTGACCCAGCAGTTGGGTTCAAAAAGGGACAACCCCAGCGATTGGATTGTTTTGACCCAGCTATTGAGTTGTTTTGACCCAGCGGTTGGGTTCAAAAAGGGACAACCCCAGCGATTGGATTGTTTTGACCCAGCTATTGAGTTGTTTTGCCCCAGCTATTGGGTTGTTTTGACCCAGTAGTTGGGTTCAAAAAGGGACAACCCCAGCGATTGGATTGTTTTGACCCAGCTATTGAGTTGTTTTGCCCCAGCTATTGGGTTGTTTTGACCCAGCAGTTGGGTTCAAAAAGGGACAAGCCCAGCTATTGGATTGTTTTGACCCAGCTATTGAGTTGCTTTGACCCAGCGGTTGGGTTCAAAAAGGGACAAACCCAGCTATTGGGTTGTTTTGACCCAGCAGTTGGGTTCAAAAAGGGACAAACCCAGCT